CCTGCATTCACTATATCCGCTCTCCCCGGACCCTGCATTCACTATATATGGTCTCCCCAGGCTCTGCATTCACTATATCCATTCTCCCCAGGCTCTGCATTCACTATATCCATTCTCCCCGGACCCTGCATTCACTATATCCTCTCTCCCCGGCTCTGCATCACTATATCCATTCTCCCTGGACCCTGCATTCACTATATCCTCTCTCCCCGGGCTCTGCATTCACTATATCAATTCTCCCCGGACCCTGCATTCACTATATCTGGTCTCCCCGGACCCTGCATTCACTATATCTGGTCTCCCCGGACCCTGCATTCACTATATATGGTCTCCCCAGACCCTGCATTCACTATATCTGGTCTCCCGGACCCTGCATTCACTATATCCGGTCTCCCCGGACCCTGCATTCACTATATCCGGTCTCCCCGGACCCTGCATTCACTATATCTGGTCTCTCCGGACCCTGCATTCACTATACCTGGTCTCCCACAGTACACAGATACCAATGATGAGGCACTATTTCTCCCAATGACACCAATGATGGGGCACTATTCCTTCCAATGACCACCAATGATGGGGCACTATTCCTCCCACTGACACCAATGATGAGGCACTATTTCTCCCAATGACACCAATGATGGGGCACTATTCCTCCCACTGACACCAATGATGAGGCACTATTTCTCCCAATGACACCAATGATGGGGCACTATTCCTCCCACTGATACCAATGATGGGGCACTATTCCTCCCACTGACACCAATGATGGGGCACTATTCCTCCCACTGACACCAATGATGGGGCACTATTACTCCCAATGACACCAATGATGGGGCACTATTACTCCCAATGACACCAATGATGGGGCACTATTACTCCCAATGACACCAATGCTGCTGTCCAAAGGTGCCCCCTATGCTCCTTCATCCAGAGTGGGGGCGCTCTTATACAGGAGGTGTGTTACTGGCCAGATCAGCAAGTGATAACAGGGGAGAAAAAGTCTACAAAAAAGAAAACAACTGCGGCCACCACGTCCGGTGATTGGTAAGCTGCAATATATTACATTTTTGTTTTTTCCATTGAATTGCAGAAATGAAATGATTCGCTTGCACAGAGCCTGGCGTAATGAAGTGGCGTGCAAAGCGCGATCTTTTCCCCGGAAACGTTACATTGGAGTATTTAGCGCGAGTTGTAAATGGCTGAATGGGAATGTTTTCCCGACTTTACGATTTCTGTGCTCAGCTTGTCTGGATCTGTCACTCTGGCTGGGCGACCTTTGTCTGTTTCATATAAATATAGCTCCCGACGCAGCTGTAAAATCCCGCGCGGCGCGGCATATGACTCACTCCGGCTCTGCACTTGGGGGTGAAATGGCATATAAAAGGACTTGCAGGTAAGCGAGCCGGCCGGCTTCTAAAGAGAACCTGTCACCAATGACAAAAATTGCAGGTAAAAAACCAGCGAAAATTTTATTTTTGTAAAATGATGACTTGCAGAATTTTCCATTTCTTTAAAGTGGTTGTAAACCCTTCCATACACCCAGTGAAATGACTGGCCTCAAATGATACACAGAGAGGAAACAAATCCTCCTACACAAGTTGTACCTGTTTATCTGAAGCCCTCTCTCCTCTACAGCTGTTCAAAGCCCAGAATTTGCAGGTGATTTCTGAGCCTCCAGAGGTAGGGGGTGGAGATCTGATGCATACCGCCCAACTTTTTGAGATGGGAAGGAGGGACACCTATTATCAAAAAAACTATGTAGGCATTGGACAGGCCCCCGCCGCCACGCCCCCTTAACTGCCTACTGGCTGTCATATAAGGCAATGACAGGAGGGCGGCAGTTCTCTCGTTCTGGGAAGTTATATGACGTTCTCTGACTCTATCTGCGCATGCGTGCCCTCGGGGACATGCGGTGCGGTGATTGGTGGTGTGCTGTGTCCCCGGGACACAGTGGATCACCGATCGCAGTAGAGAGCTGATGACCTAGGCTCTATCATGTGATCAGCTGTGTCCAATCACAGCTGATTGCATGTAAATAGGAATTGACAGTTATAGGCAGTCTTCTCCTCATGCTGACAGTGTGTGAGGAGAGGGGATCCGGTAAGTGGCATTCCTCAGGGGGGACACCTACACTGATCATCAGTACACTAATGATCAGTGTAGCCCCATCAGTGCCACCTGTCAGTGCCCATAACTGCCTCCTGTCAGTGCCCATCAATGCCACATTCAGTGCCATCAGTTCTGCCTATCAGTGCTGCCAACAGTGCTGCCATCAGTTCTGCAGTATCAGTGCCCATCAATGCCACATATTATTATTTATTATTACTTATATAGCGCCATCAATTTACACAGCACTTTACATATATATTGTACATCACATCAGTCCCTAACCCTCAAGGGGCATGTACAATCTAAGGTCCCTAACTCACATTCATACATACACATACTAGGGACAATTTAGACAGGAGCCAATTAACCTACCAGCATGTCTTTGGAGTGAGGGAGGAAACCGGAGTACCCGGAGGAAACCCACGCAGGCACAGGGAGAACATGCAAACTCCAGGCAGGTGGTGCTGTGGTTGGGATTCGAACCCACAACCTGAGTACTGCCAGGTGGAAACGCTAACCATTTAGCCGCTGTGCTTCCCCATATCAATGCACATCAATGCCACATATCAGTGCCAGTCAATTCTGCCTATCAGGGCCATCAGTGCTGCCTATCAGTGCCAGTCAATGCCGCCTACCATTTATGTCTATCAGTGTTAGTCAGTGACAACTATCAGTGCCCATCAGTGCCTCCTAACAGTTCCAGTCAGTTCCACCTATCAGTGCCATATATGAGTGCTGCCTTTACGTGCCCATCAGTGATGCCTGTCAATGCCCACCAGTGCCTCCTCATCAGTGCCGCCTATCAGTGCCCATCACTGCAGTCTCATTAGCGCACATCAGTGAAGGAGAAAAATTACTTATTTACAGCAGAGCAGAGTGAAGGGAGCCCCCCCAGGGACAGCCATTGGTTCTCCTGGGTAGCAGAGCGGAGTGAAGGGAGTGCCCCCCCCCCTCGAGGACAGCCGCTGGTTCTCCTGGGCAGCAGAGAGGAGTGAAGGGAGCGCCCCCCCCTCGAGGACAGCCGCTGGTTCTCCTGGGCATCAGAGGGGAGTGAAAGGGAGCGCCCCCCCCTCGAGGACAGCCGCTGGTTCTCCTGGGCAGCAGAGGGGAGTGAAGGGAGCGCCCCCCCCTCGAGGACAGCCGCTGGTTCTCCTGGGCAGCAGAGGGGAGTGAAGGGAGCGCCCCCCCCTCGAGGACAGCCGCTGGTTCTCCTGGGCAGCAGAGGGGAGTGAAGGGAGCGCCCCCCCCTCGAGGACAGCCGCTGGTTCTCCTGGGCAGCAGAGCGGAGTGAGGGGAGCCATGGGAGCAGCCGTGAAACTCCAGGAACAGAGCCGCTGTGATGGTGAGTCTCCCTCTGGGGGGAAGGGGAGAGGGGGAATCGAGGGGGCCGTGGTGTGTGGGTTGGTCGCATGTGGGAGGGCTGGTGGGTGGCAGCGGGGGCCAAGGCAGGCAGATTTTCTGTGTTGCCTTGGGCAGCACAAATTCTAAATACACTCCTGGTGGGGGCGCTCTAACACAGGTGTATTACTGGCCAGATCATCAGGTGAAAACATTGGGGAAGAAAGAAAACAAATTCAGCCACCACATTTAATGATTGCTAATGTGCAATATATGACATTTGTCATTTTGGGTTTAATAACGCTTTAATTGCAGGTCTTTCGGGAGAAGATAAAGTAAAAAAAAAAAAGAAAACAAACGCAGCCAACATATGTAAGGAGCGATAGGCTGCTATATACAACATTTTTGTTTTTGAGTTTAATACCACTTAAAGTCGGATTGTAATGTGTATGGTTTACTGAGGTTCTCCATTGAATGATGTTCACCAAATTTCCTGCATAGTGAATGACCCCCCCCATTATCTGCGAGCCGCGAGGCTCCAGACATCGGTATACCTCCCAGCACCGAGTTATATTTGGAATTTCAATACAACATCAAAAAAAAGATGAAAATCTCTGCAGCCCGGGCGGCAGATCACCGCGAACAGGTGTCACCATCCATCTCAATAATCTTGACCGCGGCAGGAATTACATGACTGGGCGCTCGCTGTCAGCATTACCGAGCCCACCTGCAGCTACGCATTAAAGGAGACCTCCGCAGACTGCCGACCCATGCCCCCCCCCTTTTACTGCGACCTACAAAAAGCCACAGACTGAAGACGTACACGGCGAGGAAAGCGTCGCAAGAGGGGGTTAATCTCTCGATTTTAGGAATTGGCTCAGACAGCCCCGAATCTCTGCCCCGCTCTGCCCCTAAGGGAATAAAAGGTGGCAAAGCAGCTGGAAGGAACCTGCCAACACAAATAGCGACTCGGCATCGCATTTCTGAAAAGTTTGAACATTCAAAATGCAAATTCCACACTTGGCGCTCAGCCGGAGTCTAAGAACGGCGGCAGAACTGCTGTGCGGAGATGGGTGACGGGAGGGTGAGAGATGCTGGCAGGGATAGGAGAAGACAGTAACCCCTTCCATGCCACATGGGTTGGTATAGAAAAATGGAATACTCGGGGTAGGATGGTGTACCAGGAATGGTCTGTATATGGAACAGCACCTTGGGACTTGTGCGGACTCAGAATATGGGGGTCACATCGCTTATTACAGAGACCCCCCCCCTAAATATATACAATGAATACAAAATAATAGAAAATATATAGCAGGGGCAGGGGCGGACTGACCATTTGGAAACAAGGGCCCGGGGTCAGTAAAGGGGCCCCATGAGATGCTCCTGGTACCTTTTTCATAGGCTTTTATGAGTTTGGGCAAGGACACAGGGGCCCCATGATCCCCTATTGCCCGGGGGCCCCATGAGTTGTCAGTTATTAAAACTCAGGTCTAGTCAGGATTATCTTCTTCTGGCAGAGGCTTGAGCCCTGGTTCTAGGGGCGGACTGACAACTCATGGGGCCCCCGGGCAATAGGGGATCATGGGGCCCCTGTGTCCTTGCCCAAACTCAAAAAAGCCTATGAAAAAGGTACCAGGGGCATCTCATGGGGCCCCCTACTGACCCCGGGCCCTCGGGCAGTGCCCGAGTGTCCAAATGGTCAGTCCGCCCCTGCCTGGTTCACATATCTGCGGTCCAGTTTCGCGCGAGCACGAGAGCCCATTCATTTGAATGGACTCCCGTGCCCCTGGATGCGCAGGGAAGAAGTCCTTCTGAAAACGCAGCCCATACGGAACCTCGGTTCCCAGTACGGTTGTGATTTCCAGAGTGGCCGGCGTGTCATTGCGGGTGGTGCGGCTGCACAGATTTTTGTGCGGATCCACAGCGGCACCACCTGCACATATGCGAACCTAGCCTTATGCAAGCCATAAACGGGTCAAACATCGGGCGATTTTTCGAATGATAAACAAAAAATCGGTCGTTCGTTAAGCCGATGTTACCACTGATTAAAAAAATTGACCGACTAAATCATAAAGTTCACTCCATATAACAGCCAAACGTCTGTCCCTTGTAGGTCACGGCTTCTGCGCAGATTTTTTATCGTTAAAACGATCGGCCGATTTGTCCATCATTGCCGGGAAAATCGGCTGTTTTTTCCAAATTGGCCGCGAATTTTCCAACATGACCGGTAATCTCAAAATGCGAAAAACCTGAAAACTGGCCGACCAATTAACCCACTAACAGTGCGAAAATCTGCCGATTTCTCTTTCGGTCGAAAAATCTATGGCTGGCATTAATCCTTGCAATGACTCAGATTTTGTGTATACACTATATTGCTAAAAGTATTGGGCCAGCCCTCCAAATCATGTGATTCAGGTGTTCCAATCCCCTCCATGGCCACAGGTGTATAAAATCAAGCCCCTAGGCATGCAGACTGCTTCTACAAACATTGGTGAAAGAATGGGTCGCTCTCAGGAGCTCAGTGACTCCAAGCGTGGTCCCGTGATAGGTTGTCACCTGTGCAATAAGTCCATCCGTGACATTTCCTGGCTACTAAATATTCCACGCTCAACTGTTAGTGGGATTATAACAAAGTGGAAGCAACTGGGAACAACAGCAACTCAGCCACCAAGTGGTAGGCCACGTCACATGACAGAGTGGGGTCAGTGCATGCTGAAGCGCACAGTGCGCAGAAGTCATCAACTGTCTGCAGAGTCAATAGCTAAAGACCTCCAAACTTGGTGTGGCCTTCAGATGAGCCCAACAACAGTGCGTAGAGAGCTGCATGGAATGGGTTCCCATGGCCGAGCAGCTGCATCCAAGCCTTACATCACCAAGTGCAATGCAAAGCGTTGGATACCGTGGTGTAAAGCACACCGCCACTGGACTCTAGAGCAGTGGATGCATGTTCTCTGGAGTGACCAATCATGCTTCTCTGGCAATCTGATGGATGTGTCTGGGTTTGGCAGTTGCCAGGAGAACGGTACTTGCCTGACTGCATTGTGCCAAGTGTAAAGTTTGGTGGAGGGGGATTATGGTGTGGGGTTGTTTTTCAGTGGTTGGGCTTGGCCCCCTAGTTCCAGTGAAGGGAACTCTTAAGGTGTCAGCATACCAAGACATTTTGGACAATTTCATGCTCCCAACTTTGTGGGAAGAGTTTGGGGATGGCCCCTTCCTGTTCCAACATTACTGAGCACCAGTGCACAAAGCAAGGTCCATAAAGACATTGATGAGTGAGTTTGGGGTGGAGGAACTTGACTGGCCTGCACAGAGTCCTGACCTCAACCCCATAGAAAACCTTTGGGATGAATTAGAGTGGAGACTGCGAGCCAGGCCTCCTCCCCCGACATCAGTGCCTGACCTGACAAATGTGCTTCTGGAAGAATGGTCCAACCTTCCCATAGACACCCTCCTAAACCTTGTGGACGGCCTTCCCAGAAGAGTTGAAGCTGAAATTTCATTGCAGCAACTCAGAATGGTCCTCAGTAGTTTGCATGGCCCCCACGTGCTTGTATGCATGTCTGACAACATCGGGGGGAGGCTCCTAATGAGACGACGGATGGTGTCCTGGGGGATTTCCTCCCAGATCTGGACCAGGGTATCACTGAGCTCCTGGACAGTCTGAGGTGCAATCTGGCGTCGTCGGATGGACTGAAACATGACATCACCAGAGGTGTTCTATTGGATTTAGGTCAGGTGAGCGTGGGGGCCATTCAATGGTATCAATTCCTTCATCCTCCAGGAACTGCCTACACACTCTCGCCACATGAGGAACCCAGGACCCACTGCACCAGGAGGAACCCAGGACCCACTGCACCAGGAGGAACCCAGGACCCACTGCACCAGGAGGAACCCAGAACCCACTGCACCATCGTAGGTTCTGACAACAGTCCAAAAATTTCATCTCAATACCTAATGGCAGTCAGGGTGTCATTGTCTAGCCTGTAGAGGTCTGTGCGTCCCTCCATGGATATGCCTCCCCAGACCATCACTGACCCACCACCAAAACGGTCATGCTGAACGATGTTACAGGCAGCAGAACGTTCTCCACGGCTTCTCCAGACCCTTTGACGTCTGTCACATGTGCTCAGGGTGAACCTGCTCTTATCTGTGAAAAGCACAGGGTGCCAGAGGTGGACCTGCCAATTCTGGTGTTCAATGGCCAATGCCAATCTCTATGCTCTATGGTGCCGGGCAGTGAGCACAGGGCCCACTAGAGGACGTCGGGCCCTCAGGCCACCCTCATGAAGTCTGTTTCTGATTGTTTGGTCAGAGACATTCACACCAGTGGCCTGCTGGAGGTCATTTTGTAGGGCTCTGGCAGTGCGCATCCTGTTCCTCCTTGCACAAAGGAGCAGATACCGGTTCTGCTGAGGGTTAAGGACCTTCTACAGCCCTGTCCAGCCCTCCTAGAGTAACTGCCTGTCTCCTGGAATCTCCTCCATGCTCTTGAGACTGTGCTGGGAGACACAGCAATCCTTCTGGCAATGGCATGTATTGATGTGCCATCCTGGAGGAGTTGGACTGCCTGTGCAACCTCTGTAGGGTCCAGGTATGGCCTCATGCTACCAGTAGTGACACTGACCCTAGCCAAATGCAAAAACTAGAGAAAAACAGTCAGAAAAGATGAGTAGGGGAAAAATGTCAGTGGCCTCCACCTGTGAAGCCATTCCTGTTTTGGGGGTCATCTCATTGTTGCCCATCTAGTGCACCTGTTGATAATTTCATTAACACCAATGCAGCTGAAACTGATTAACAACCCCCCTCTGCTACTTACCTGACCAGATCAACATCCCAGAAGTTTCATTCACTTGATGCAATACATGTATGTACACAGAAAAATGGAGGAAATCCCATAGAGCCCGCTTCATTTCCTGGCCGGAGGACGTCTAACATCATCTAGCCCTTTCCTCTCCAGCCTGACTGTCCCTGGCCCCACCTCTTTCATTCACTGGATTTCAGTTCTTTCAATCATGGGGGCTCAGAATCACATGTGGGCGTTACCTAGGATGGTCAGCATGCTAATACAGAAGTCCCACTTCTCCAGATTGACCAAAAAGACATTTTGAAATTTGCATAACTTCTCCCAAGAGCCAGCTCACTGCTGAGGGTTCCTGAGAGAGGAACTTAGGCAAGTTACTGTGATGTTTTCAGGAAGTGATGTACAGGACCCTGCCAGCCCCTCTCACTAGCCATGATCTGCCTGCAATGCATAGAGCAGTGCAGAGACCCAGTGAAGATGTCACTGGATCTAAATTTAGTTATGTATTGAAAACAGAAAAGTTTTATCTAAACTTTCATAGCCTGTTGATGAGGAAAGAAAGGGGGAATCGGGGAGGGCAAAACATAAGCAGAATAATCTTAAACTTTATGCACAAAAGAAAAAAAAAAAAACGCAGATCTAATATTTCTATAAAAATCTGACATTCTGCGCTTTTGCCAGAAGCAGCAATATGCAGACTGTTCTCGGCAGGTTATGTACAGTATGTTATGTAATGCTCATTATAAAAATATATTATGGTGGTATGAAATTTGCTGTTTTTTTTTTCACATTTTGTGCATTCAGCGTATTTTATTTATAATTTCTCACTTCCAATTGTTAGATCGCCTTCGTTTTTTTACACATTTTGGTTTTAAAATTTTTTGCACCAGTTACAAAGTGAAGAAAACCGTGAGCTGCAGGAGCACTTAAGGCACCTCCTTAAAAGCATGCCAAAGTGGCCCCTCAGTTGATATGATTTCAAGTCAGTTTAGCATGCCTAATGGACTAATTAGCACACCTAAACGTACATGTAAACCCTAACGTAATGACTTTATGTGTGCTAAAGCACTATGTATCAGAACCAGTATCGGGACAGGTTTGTCCAGTGCCCAGGGCAAAGATGCAGAACTGAACCACCTGCTAATGCATGCCATAGAATGGGTGTACCACCTTTTACCCATTTTTTGCCCCCCTTGCTATAACTGCCAGTGGTTGGCATGGAGTGTGTTCTCCCCATGCATGGCCAGTCACTTGTTTTCTTGTGGCTAAATGGCAGTTGCATATGCACGGCAGGGCTGTCCTAATGCATGGGCAACCCTGATCACTGCCCAGGGGTCCCAGGTGCAGGGGGGCCCCATGATAATTTTGCTTTATAGCACACTTGCCAACTGTCCCGGATTTGCCGGGACAGTCATGCTTTTTTACTAAGTTGTCCTGGGGGGGCTCAGGTATTGTCTATATATTTGTATTGTGCCCAGTATGGTGCCCTCCCAATCCCAGTATTGTGCCCTCCTGACTCCCCATGTACTGTGTCCTCCTGATCTCAGTATTGTGCCCTCCCACTCGCCATGTACTGTGCCCTCTGATCACCAGTATTGTGCCCTCCTGATACCAGTATTGTGCCCTCTTGATACCAGTATTGTGCCCTCCTGACTCCCCGTGTACTGTGTCCTCCTGATCCCTGTATTGTGTCCTCCTGATCCCAGTATTGTCTCCTCCTGATCCCAGTTTTGTGCCCTCCTGACCCCCCCCTGTACTGTGTCCTCCTGATCCCATTATTGTGCCCTCCTGATCCCAGTATTGTGCCCTCCTGACTCCCCCTGTATTGTGTCCTCCTGATCCCAGTGTTGTGTCCTCCCGATCCCTGTATTGTGCCCTCCTGACTCCCCCTGTATTGTGTCCCTCCTGATCCCAGTATTGTGCCCTCCTGACTCCCCGTGTACTGTGTCCTCCTGATCCCAGTATTGTGTCCTCCTGATCCCAGTATTGTGCCCTCCTGATCCCAGTATTGTGCCCTCCTGACTCCCCCAGTACTGTGCCCTCCTGATCCCAGTATTGTGCCCTCCTGACTCCCCCTGTACTGTGCCCTCCTGATCCCAGTATTGTGCCCTCCTGACTCCCCGTGTACTGTGCCCTCCTGATCCCAGTATTGTGTCCCTCCTGACTCCCCCTGTACTGGTTCCTCCTGATCCCAGTATTGTGTCCTCCTGACTCCCCCTGTACTGTGCCCTCCTTGATCCCAGTATTGTGCCCTCCTGACTCCCCCTGTATTGTGCCCTCCTGACTCCCAGTACTTGTGCCCTCCTGACACCCCCCTAGTATGGTGCCCTCCTGATCCCCCTGTATGTGCCCTCTGACTCCCCCTGTATTGTGTCCTCCTGATCCCAGTATTGTGCCTCCTGATCCACCTGTATTGTGCCCTCTTGATCCCAGTATTGTGCCCTCCTGAGTACTGTGCCCCCTGATCCCAGTTGTGCCCTCCTGACTCCCCGTGTATTGTGCCCTCCTGATCCTAGTACTGTGCCCCCTGACTCCCCCTGTATTGTGCCCTCCTTCTGATCCCAGTACTTGTGTCCTCCCGATCCCAATATTGTGCCCTCCTGAATCCCAGTGTATTGTGCCCTCCTGAATCCCAGTATTGTGCCCTCCTGATCCCAGTACTGTGCCCCCCTGACTCCCCGTATTGTGCCCTCCTGATCCCAGTATTGTGCCCTCCTGATCCCTGTATTGTGCCCTCCTGATCCAGGCTGTATCGCAAAAAATGGCCTGGTCAGAAAAGTCCTAAGGTGCACATGTCTGGAAAATGACTGTATCAACAGGTGTCGCTCTGTCTGGTCGGGCTGTAGCAAAATAAAGCTCACAAGCAGCAAATATACTTCCAATATTGTAATATTTATTAAAAATCCATAAAATTAGCATCAAATGTAACAAAGAATTATCAGCTTATATAGATGGCCACTGCTGACCTGGAATCGCACAGCGGCATGACGTCAGCACTGTACACAACTTTTTTGGAAAAGGTCAGAGACTTTTTTTATCCTGTAGTTTAATTTTTTTACTGGACACGTTTAATAGCAGAAAGTCAAAAATACAGGTTTTTTTTTTTCAAAATTGTCAGTTTTTTTTTGCTTATAGCGCAAAAAAATAAAAAAAAAAAAGGTGATCAAACCCCACTGAAAGAAAGCTCCATTTGTGGAAAGAAAAAAAGGACATACATTTAATTTGGGTGCAGCGCTGCATGACCATGCAATTGTAAATGTAACACAGCACCGTATTGCAAAAAAAAAAAAATGGCCTGGTCAGGAAGGGGGGTAAATCCTCTGGTTAAAAAAAAAAAATCTGTTTGCAACCTTTAAAAAGAAGACTATCATTGGCCAGCCTGTACATTGCAGCTTTATACAGATGTTGGAAATCCAACAAAGCAAGAATTAGCCTATCTTCAATCCCTTTTCAATAAATAGCCCCCCGCCATGTTTTGTATGTATGGGCAGCACAAATGGCTAAATGGTTAGCACTTCCGCCTGGCAGTACATTTCTCACAGCTTCCAATCAGATTTGGCCCTGCCACGAAAGCTTGCTTGTAATAGGTAATGCAGGATCTATATGGAAAAGTGTACATGGGACCAGGGGCGGACTGACAACTCATGGGGCCCCAGGCAATAGGGGATCATGGGGCCCTGTGTCCTTGCCCAAACTCAAAAAAGCCTATGATAAAGGTACCAGGGGCATCTCATGGGGCCCCCTACTGACCCCGGGCCCTCGGGCAATGCCCGAGTTTCCAAATGGTCAGTCCGCCCCTGGATGGGACAGCACAGTGGCTAAATGGTTAGCACTTTCACCTGGCAGTACTGGGGTAGTTGGTTCAAATCCCAACCATGGCACCTCCTGCCTGGAGTTTGCATGTTCTCCCTGTGCCTGCGTGGGTTTCCTCCCACACTCCAAAGACATGCTGGTAGGTTAATTGGCTCCTGTCTAAATTGTCCCTAGTATGTGTATGTATGAATGTGAGTTAGGGACCTTAGATTGTACACCCTTGAGGGTTAGGGACTGATGTGAATGTACAATCTATATGTAAAGTGCTGCATAAATTGACAGCGCTATATAAGTACCTGAAATAAATAAATATGGGGTATCTTCCTATAATTTTTATAATTTTTTTTTTTTTAGATGCAATTTTCCTTGGCATCCTTTAGGTGGCAGTCTTGCCGTCTTGGCACGCCACTGTCTTTCCCCTGTGGAAGCCGGGGTCACATCTTGGGGGTCAGAGAGAGCTCATTCTGTTTGCCCCGTGCCCTTCCCTCTGAAATAGGCGACACGACACAGGTCACTCTCTGGGGCTATATAATTATTATCCTGCTTTGTGATCATACAGACTCATTGCCCCCTGACCCCCCCCCCCCCCCCCGTACAGCCGCCGCAGATAAAGCCCTTGTCACCAATTTCCCTGTTGCGCTCGCCTCTCCCCGCGCCGCCTTTGTCAGTAACAAATAGATTGCCTGCCCAGGAATTGTATGTATATTAATGTGTGACAGCGCGGCGGCCTGTCATCTCGCGTCCCTGACGCCGGAGTGTATTAAAGGTTTATCATTAATATTATTGATTCATTAATAGATACTGCAATGCAGCAGGAGGCCGGTAGGAACCAAAGACTTATGTGACTTTTTTTTTTATATAATCATTAATCTGGAAGCGCGCACGGAGGAGATGGCGCCAATAGAACAGGTTTATGTATGCGGACATTTTCAAAAATCGGAAATAAGGCACAACGGGCAGATCACTTTAAGGGCCAGTTCACACTCCATGCGTTTCAGTTGCTTTTCTTCTGCATCCAAAACGCACAGAAAGTAGGTGATATGGCTGTCAAGGTCATAGTTCACATCAGCGCTTTCAGTTCCAGTGCGTTCCGGCTGCAGAAAAAAAAAGTAGAACAGGCTGCATTTTTTCTGCGCAGAACTGTACTGGAACGCGGTAAAACGCATCAAAAATGCACCAGAACGCACCAAAAACGTACTGGAATGCACATGTCCCTAACTGAATTGAAGAAAAAGAGAGGGGAAAAAATGAACTGGAATGCCTAAAAAAAAACACACATCAAAAACGCACTAGAACGCGCCAAAAACGTGCATGCAAAACTGCATCCGGAACGCTTCTGGACTGCATTTCTATAGTGTGAACTGGCCCTTAAAGCGTACTAGAACACAGTAAAACACATCAAAAACGCACCATACTGGAACGCACATGTCCCTAATTAAATTGAAGAAAAAGAGAGGGGAAAAATGAACTGGAATACATGAAGAAATGCACTGGATTGTGTCAAAAACACACCAGAACACGCCAAAAACGCATAAAAAACATGCATGTAAAACTGCAAACGGAACGCGTCTGGACTGCATTTCTATAGTGTGAACTGGCCCTTAAAGTGTGCATGTAGCCATGACCCGGGCCGTTATCCGGTATGCCAACAAAGTTCAGCCAATCACTGGGTGATGATGACATCACAGTGGCTCGTTCACGCTTTTTATGTGCGCTACAACGCAGCATCACAACATGCTAAAAGCGCATGAAAACTGGTTATCGTGCAGCGGCGTGACGTCAGCACTGTACACTTCTTTTTTGGAAAAGGTCAAAGATTTTATTGGTTGTCAGTGTCATAGTTCCCATCAGTGCTTGCAGTTCCAGTGCGTTCTGGTTGCAGAAAAAAAAGTAGAACATGCTGCATTTTTTTCTGCACAGAACTGTACTGGAACGCAGTAAAACGCATGAAAAATGCACCGGAACGCACCAAGATGTACCAAAAACATACTGGAATGCACATGTCCCTAATCAAATTGAAGAAAAAAATAAAGAGGAAAAATGAACTGGAATGTATAAAGAAAAATGCACTGGAATGCATCAAAAACACATAAAAAAGCACTAGAACGTGCCACAAAAGCGCATGCAAAACTGCATTCGGAAAGCATTTGGACTGCATTTCTATAGTGTGAACTGGCCCTTAAAGTGTGCCTGTAGCTGTGACCCGGGCCGTTATCCGGTTCAGTCAATCACTAGGTGATGATGCAGGGGCGAACTGACAACTCATGGGGCCCCCGGGCAATAGGGGATCATGGGGCCCCTGTGTCCTTGCCCAAACTAAAAAAAGCCTATGAAAAAGGTATCAGGGGCATTCATGGGGCCCCCTACTGACCCCGGGCCCTCGGGCAGTGCCCTAGTTTCCAAATGGTCAGTCTGCCCCTGAGCCGATAATAGCCGGGTCTTGGTGACTTACCTGTGAGAAACTGAACGTCCGCATAAAACGCCTCCAAGACTTCATGGTAGCCATGGTGGAACCCACAAAGCTCTCGATTCCACGTAAGCAGTAGACCTGACCTCAGATCTGTCGCTTTCTTCTACTCCGGGGACATTATTGTGGTGAATAGTTATTCCTCCAAGTCATGAAATCCGGTGACTTGGTCTGCATCTCATGGGGCCCCCTACTGACCCCGGGCCCTCGGGGAGTGCCCGAGTTTCCAAATGGTCAGTCCGCCCCTGGTGATGATGACATCACAGCGGCTCATTCACGCTTTTTATGTGTGCTACAATGCAGCATCACACCATGCTAAAAGTGCATGAAAACTGGTTATCGTACAGCGGCGTGACATCAGCACTATACACTCCTTTTTTGGAAAAGGTCAAATACTTTATTTGGTTGTCAATGTCATAGTTCCCATCAGTGCTTGAAGTTCCAGTGCGTTCCGGTTGCAGAGAAAAAAGTAGAACATGCTGCATTTTTTCTGTACAGAACTGTACTGGAACGCAGTAAAACGCATCAAAAACATGCTGGAACGCACCAAGATACACCAAAAACATACTGGAATGCACATGTCCCTAATTAAATTGAAGAAAAACAGAGGGGAAAAATGAACTGGAATGGATAAAGAAATGTGTCAAAAACACATAAAAAACGTACCAAAAACACATAAAAAAACAAGCATGCAAAACTGCATCCAGAACGAATCTGGATTGCATTTCTATAGTGTGAACTGACCCTTAAAGTGTGCATGTAGCTGTGACCCCATATGCCAACAAAGTCCAGCCAATCACTAGGTGATGATGACATGATAGCGGCCCATTCACGCTTTTTATGTGCGCTACAACGCAGCATCACAGCATGCTAAAAGCGCATGAAAACTGGTTATCGTGCAGCGGCGTGACGTCAGCACTGTACACTCCTTTTTTGGAAAAGGTCAAAGACTTTATTTGGTTGTCAATGTCATACCATCGCAAGTCACATGAAATTGCATGATAAGTCGCATCAATGTGAACCGGGGTTCAGCCAACCGCCTTGCGACCACTAATCACAGCCAAGAATAATAGCACCCAGGGCTGATCTTAATACACAGCAAGCACAACGCTATTTTTTCCCCGCTCTCCTGGAATCTATCATGGCGGTCGGTCACTCAGTGGACAGGCCCAGGAGCCGGAGGTCCGTTCCATCCGCCGGTGCCATCGCTCCCATGACAATGGCGCAGAGGTCGGTGAGCCCTCGGGGCTCGGCTCATTGCGGTCATGCCTGAGCGTTCCTGATCTGCTGACAGTAACAAATGAACTGACACAGCGAGAATCCTGCATGTGTTACGTGTGAGACTTCCTGACATTAATAAATGAAGAGACACGCTACAACCCGTGTATGTGCTGAGTGCGGGATATGGAGCCGGCCCCCCGGGGAAGAGCCCAGAACACGGGAACAGAGCCAGAGACCCCACACTGATCCCCACACTATGATGGGGGAAGACCTCACCCATTCTGGCAGATGAGGTTTGGGTGGAGGAGGATTGGATGGGGAGATTTGGGGGAAGGGAGTTTGCCGGTTGGAATATGAGATGAATGAGATGTAGAAAAAGGCAGTTTTTTATCATACGCAGCGCTTTAGCCAATAAAATTCCATTCAGTTAGATCGGGGTCTTCAGACTTTTCCATACCGGGGTCACATGGTATATTCTACTAATAGAAAACAATTCAGTCTGTGCCTTTCTTTCACTAGTACACTTTAAATCTGAGTCCCCATCAGAATCCCCCATTACATCAGGGGTCCATCAGAGTCCTCTACATCAGAATCCCCCTTTACATCAGGGGTCCATCAGAGTCCTCTCTACATCAGAATCCCCCCTTACATCAGAGGTCCATCATGGTCCTCCTTACATCAGGTTCCCTCTTACATCAGGTTCCTCATCAGAGTCCCTCCTTACATCAGGGTCCCTCTTACACAGGGGCGGACTGACCATTTGGAAACTTGGGCACTGCCCAAGGGCCCGGGGTCAGTAGGGGGCCCCATGAGATGCCCCTGGCACCTTTTTCATAGGCTTTTTTGAGTTTGGGCAAGGACACAGGGCCCCATGATCCCCTATTGCCTGGGGGCCCCATGAGTTGTCAGTCCGCCCCTGTTCTTACATCGGGTTCCCCATCATGGTCCTCCTTACATCAGGTTCCCTCTTACATCAGGTTCCCCATCAGAATCCCCCCTTACATCAGGGGTCCGTCAGAGTCCTCTCTACATCAGAATCCTCCCTTACATCTGGGTCCCCCTCATGGTCCTCCTTACATCAGGGTCCCTCTTACATCAGGGTCCCTATCAGAGCCTTCCCTTACATCTGGGTCCTCATCATGGTCCTCCTTACATCAGGGTCCCCATCAGAGCCTTCCCTTACATCAGGGTCCCCATCATGGTCCTTCCTTACATCAGGGTCCTTCTTACATCAGGTTCCCCATCAGAGTCCTTCCTTACATCAGGGTCCCTCTTACATAAGTGTCCCCATTAGTGTCCACTCTTTCACCATATTTCCCATCACAATCTCCCCTTACATCAGAGGCCCCATCACAGTCCCCCCTTACATCAGGATCTTCCTTACATCAGAGTCCTTCTTTATATCAGGGTCTCTATCAGAGTCCTCCCTTACATCAGGGTCCTTGTTAGAGTTGTCTTTACATGAGGGTACCCATCAGAGTCTCTCTTTACAACTTTTCCCCATCAGTGTCTGCTCTTACAGCATGGTCCCCATCAGAGTCCACCTTATGTTATAGCCCCCCTTACTTCAGGCCCCCCTATTACATCATGTTTCCCATCAGAGTCCCCCCTTACATCAGAGCCCCACCCCCCTTACATCAGAGCCCCCCCTCTTACATCAGGGTCCCCCTCTTACATCATTTCTTAGCTTAAACTTGCTGCATGGCTGTAGCTGCAGGACAGGTCTGGATGAAAGGAATGCTGGGGTAAGCAAGAAATTCTTAAGACATGGGTGGTCCAAGCAACTGATGACAGGGGTGCTAGCAATGCAGCGGAGGGAGACTGTGCTGGAGACAGAGGGTGGTACTGGAATTGAAATGCTGCCACTAAAAAAAAAAAAAAAAAAAAGTATGATCTTGTAGCTTACCAATCCTTATATGTGGTGACTGCATTTGTTTTCTTAGTTTCCAGCTTTCTCTCTTCTTTGAACTACAAAGCAATGGTCCTCTATGTAACAGAGATAATAACGGGGGTGGGGTTTGTAGTATAAATCAGGAGAGCAGCCAGGCTCCTCCATAGATGCAGAATGGTGTGTGTGTGTTCAGGGGCGGACTGACAACTCATGGGGCCCCCTGGGCAGTAGGGGATCATGGGGCCCCTGTGTCCTTGCCCAAACTCAAAAAAGCCTATGAAAAAGGTACCAGGGGCATCTCATGGGGCCCCCTACTGACCCCGGGCCCTCGGGCAGTGCCTGAGTTTCCAAATGGTCAGTCCGCCCCTGTGCGTGTTATCACCTTGGACAATAAAAGTTTTATTGCCAGGATCACCAGATGAAAATAAATGAAAAAAAAGAAAGGAAATGCAGCCACCTCCTCTGAGAACTGGTAAGGAGCATAATGTTCCATTTTTGCTTTTTTGTATTTAAACATGCTTTAACCTTCTTTCATGTAAATGACAGTGGATGGCTGATGGAGTGAAGAACCAAATGTGAGGACCACAACAATCTGGCACTGACCTCCCTGTACAAAATCAAGAAGCAGAGACGGGGTTCACAGAGTGCAATGAGGTGCGGAGTCGGCATCCAGATCACACAGAGGAGCAGGTGCAGAGAGGAACAAATGGCTCCCTTCATTATGAGCAAAGTGATGCGGGATGGAAAAGGATGGCGGTGTACCGAGGACCGATGCAGGTACATAGAACTGAGCTGGGACAATGGCAAGAACACTGCGACAAATGGGACCGATGGAAAGGACTTATTGTGATTTATTGAGCTCATTCAATAAGGCAAAAATAAGAGAAATAGCAAAGATTTTTTGCTGCTGCCAGGGAGATATTATTTATTATTTATTTCAGGTACTTATATATCGCCATCAATTTACGCAGCACTTCACATATATATTGTACATTCACATCAGTCCCTAACCCTCAAGGGGTGTACAATCTAAGGTCCCTAACTCACATTTATACATACACATACTAGGGACAATTTAGACAGGAGCCAATTCACCTACCAGCACGTCTTTTGGAGTGTGGAAGGAAACTGGAGCACCCAGAGGAAACCCGCACAGGCACAGGGAGAACATGCAAACTCCAGACAGGTGGTGCCATGGCTGGGATTCGAAACAAGGGCCCTAGTACTGCGAGGCGAAAGTGCTAACCATTTAGCTACTGTGATGCCCGTATAGCTTTACATAACCCAACACCTGGAAACTGGAGGCATTCAGACCTTGCCTGTTCCTGATTTAACCAGAAAAAACTTTCAGTATCAAAAAAAATAAATAAAAAGATTAAATGTGGAAAAAAGGTATGCATGGTTCAACAGACATCTATGAAGAAACTTTGATGCGTTTTGCTTACAGCGTTATTAAACCGAAAAACAAAAGTGTAAAATATTGCCAATACTTAAAGCGGAGTTCCAGATGAAAAATAAAAAAAAATAAATAAAAGTCAGCAGCCACAAAAACTGCTGACTTTTAAAAAACAGACACTTACCTGTCCCTCGGTCCAGCGGTGTCCTCACCACGGTTGGTTTCACCCGGCCGTCTTTTCTCCCCGCTGCCGGCCTCTTCAGTGTTGGCACCCGGCTGTGACAGCTTGCGGCTTCACAGCCGGGTGCCCACTGCGCATGCGTGAGAAGCGCTGCACTTTGTGAATGGCCCCGTAGTCTTCTGGGACCTGTCACGTGTCCCAGAAGACTACGGGGAGGGAGGGGGGATGACAACTTCTACTTCCGATCGCCTAGGCGATCGCAGAGGAAGTGGGAGTGTGTACCTGTCAAATTCGGGTACCCGCTCCCCAAAGGTGCCAATCCTTAATGGGGAGCGGGGGATAAAGGCTTAAAGCACAACTTCCCCTTTTGGGTGGAGCTCCGCTTTAATAATGTAGTGGCTATATTGGTTTTCTTCTTTTTTTTAGGCTTTTTTTTTTCTTTATTTTTACCTGGTGCTCCTGCCAGTAACACACTTCTGGTCTTAGGCAGCCCATGCAATGATCTTTTTTTTTTTTTTCGTTCAACCAGGGGGCTAAACGGAAAAAAAAAAAATGGAGTGTTGATTCCACCATCTGCGTCATTTGTGGTGGATTTGATTTAATGTGCTTCAGGGTTTCTAATACCTGGGTTCTTCCAGAGGGATGTGATTCCCCCATCTGGACATTTGAGGTGGATGATACTGTAGCTCAGGGTTTCTCAACCAGGGTTCTTCCAGAGGTTGGTAGGGGTTCAGAAATGAGCAATTCCTGCCTCTCAGATAAGTTCCCACTGACACCATTGATCCTTTTATCTATCTGTAGGGGGGGTAATTCTTCCTAATGACCACAAGTGTAAGGAGCATTCTTCCCACTGATCATCACACTAATGTATGATGAGTTGTAGACATAGAAATTTTTAGCAAGGAGTTCCCTGAGACCAAGAACATATTTCAAGGGTTCCTCTGCATTAAAAAGGTTGAGAAAGCTGATGTAGCTGCTGACTTTAAATAAATAGACACTTACCACTGGGGATCCAGTGCTGCCTCACTCGGGACGGTTCTTCGCCAGTCCTCAGGTTACCGGCACTACCATGTTTACCACTGCCACTGCCTGTGGCTTCATAGCCGGTTCAACACTGCACATGCGCAAGCCACACTGCGCTTTGTGAATGGTCCCACAGCACCCTTTGATGTGATCCAGGAGGTTTTTGGGGGGGAAGAACTTCAAGAACTTCTACTCAGATCACCTAGGCCAAGGGTCTCCAAACTTTCTAAATATAGGGCCAGATTACTGTCCTTCAAACTTTAGGGAGGCTGGATTGTGGCCAGTGGGAAAATGTACTGGTATCAGTGGGAGTAAGCAATGACCCATCATTGGTATTAGGGGGAGTAATAGTGCCCTATTATTGGTATCATGGGGAGTAACTGTGCCCTATTGTTGGTATCAATGGGAGGAATAGTGCCCCATCGTTGGTAATAGAGGTAGGAATAGTGCCCCATCATTGTCAGTGGGAGAAATAGTGCCCTATCGTTTGTATCAGTGGAAAGAATATTGCCCCATTGTTGGTATCAATGGAAAGAATAGTGCCCCACCATTGGTGTCGGTAGAAGGAAAATTGGCCGTTCACTGGTGTCAGTGGGAGGAATATTGCCCTATCATTGGTATCATTTTGAAAAATAGTGCCCCATCGTTGGTGTCAGTGGGAGGAATAGAGTCCCATCGTTGGGGTCAGTGGGAGGAATAGAGTCCCATCGCTGGGGTCAGTGACAGAAACTATGACCCACTGTTGCTGACAGTGGGGGGGGGAAATGCCCCTAGGGCCAGATAAAAGCAAGCAAATGACCACAGTTTGGAGACCGCTGGCCTAGGCAGTCCGAGCGGACGTGGGAGTGGGTACCTGCCAAAACTAGGTACATGTCCCCCCCCCCAAAAAAAAAACCCCCATTAACCTCAGGGGAAGGGGGATGGAATAGGATGAAGATCTTCCTGAAGTTCTGCTTTAGGGTTCAATAAAACATAGGGTTAGACTTTGAGGTCATAGGCCAGCCTTTCTCAACCAGGTTTTCAAGGAATTCTAGAGTTCCTCCAGAGGCTGTTGGGGTTAGTTGAGCAATGAATGATTTCTGCCTCCCAGGTTATTAACCACGGACACCAATGATCTTTTTTAGCTATAGTATCCGTTTTGGGAAAATGTTCCCTATGCCTACAAATATAAGCAGCATTCCCCCCAGTAACCATCACACTAAAGTACGGTGATCTGTAGATATAGTGTTTTTTTTAGCAAGGGTTCCTTGAGATCAGAATGTTTTTTTCAAGGGTTCCTCCACCTTAAAAGAGGTTGAGAAAAGCTGTATTAGATTGATCATTAAACAGTGCACCCAGTTATCACACAAATCTGTGGAATCTCTTTACCTGGAAGTCTTTGACCCTCCATGCTTTGATGAAGAACATTTCCCAGTAGGCCCTACTAGCCTACAGGAGACTTCAAGTTGAACAGACCTCCCATAACTCCTCCAAGACAGATCTATGCCATTTGCCAGCTCGCTACAACATTTATGGTCCAGATTTAGCATCTAAGCATGTTTTGGAAAAGTGAGCCCTAGAGACGGCACAGCGGGCAGCCAAGGCAGGCGCAGGCCAGCGGGGAAGGACATTTGGAGAAAACGAGCGGACAGACTCAAACAAAGCAGCGGGACAACAGAACGATAGCAAGTCTTGGCCATGCTGCATTACATTGATCTTGCTGGATGTCTGCCTTAATCACACACTGATATCCTCGGTCACACTTCGTCTCTGGTTGCCAGAGCTGATGTGATTCATGGAGGAAAAGGGTGATTTAGGGTTTCGGGAGCTAGAAGAGATTTGGCCATAAGGGTGTACTGTACAAGCTGTCCTTGTAACAGAATTAACCCTTTACAGGACTCAACTCGCAGGGCTAAAACAGCAGGAAAAGTATTTTTATTTTCAAAAAGACAACTGAGCTGATTCCAATGAGATCTGAAAAAGACAGTCGCGTGGCTGAAGAGAAATACTAAATCTTGTGTAAAGCTTCGTAAATTGAGCTGATAGCCTGCATACCACTGTGACGTTTCCTCTGGAACTCGAGACAAAAGGCAGCATTCAGCTATATATCATATCACTACAGCTAATATTCAATGGATATATTATTATTATTATGCAAGATTTATATGGCACCCACAGTTTGCACAGCTTATTCCTACTTTCCTAAAAATACCAGATTTCTGTAAAATATACTTGTATAGTACACAGACATAAGAGGTCATCAATGGTCTTGTGCAAATCTGGACTGAACTTGTTGAAAATGTATGGAAGCGAGACCACTGATTTTATCAAATTGTTAGAGGTTGTTATTAGGACCCCTATTACTGGCGAGCAGGTCTGAGCTTTAGAATTTTTCATGTACTTGTAATGAATTGCTCCTGCCACATGCACTTCACTTGTTAGTTATAAACTGATTGAGCTGCTTGCTATCTTTTCTGAGAAAAATGACTGTTAAGGGAAATAGGTCCACTTTTGTTCCAGTATTCATAAATCTGCCTCCGTGTGCTTCTTCAATGGTCAATTTTATAGTCAATTTGGAGAAAGAGAGAAATGGAACGGAAAATGTTTATGTTTGCCCCCCCCCCACCCCTACTCTCCCGGGTTATTTCACTCATGGATGCCATTTGTCAATTCTTAAAGCTCAATTGGGGCCAGATTCAAAATGCCACCATTTAAAGGGACTCAGTTATATGTTAAGAATTCAGAGCAAATTCATGAAATTTCATGAAGGACCATTCCCAACCCACTTATACCCACCTCTGCTATGTTTTCATGGTGCTCGCTTGCTTCAACTGAACCCTCTTGAACTACCCAATGCTTTTGGGAATGGTGGAGCATATGACCTCCTCCCAAGTGCTTGGGGCCCAGCAGCCAATAACAAGACCTGAACAATGGCATGTAAGAACAAGGCAACATCATCAACCATGTGTAAGCTCCACCA